GTATTCTAGACACGATAGAAACCACGGTTGCATTACCACCGCCGCCAAAAACAGCAGTAGTGACACTAATTATGTGGTTCCTATCCATTAATTTGTGGTCGTCAGTATCACGTCTTTATGTCAATCTGTTATCTACTGTTTCCCTTGCAAACTCCATGAACAAGTGACAACAAAATAACGAACAACGCCACCACCAACAACACCAATGACAACAACAATAAGAACGGCAACCAACAACAACGATGACGACGACGATGACGACGACGACGACGACGACAACAACAACAACAACAACACCGCCGCCAACAACAAGAACAGCGCCAGCAACACCACCACCACCACCACCACCACCACCACCACCACCACCAACAACAACAACAACAACAACAACAACAAAAAAATAATGATAGTTTCCAACTCCAAAATGTTGCAAATAGTAAGGAGAACGAGCATGGAAGTCCCAAATAATGAGATGTCAAACGTCCCAAATGGTGTAAATACAGTGAAAAATGAAAGGTTGGAAACCTTAAATGTTGCAAATAGTAGGAAAAACGGGCGCACAAACAAAAAACCACCAAACGAAAAAAGCACAGACACTTTCACACTCTCAGGACACTTTGGACCATGAGGAGTACTGCCTTCTCACTAACAATTGCAACCTCAACAGCGGAGTGTTGCTTCAAGAACCCCTTGGCCTCAAGATTGGCAAGTGTGCTCGCAACAAATTTGCAACTGAGAAGAAAGAGCCCAGTTGAAATGATAATGGTACCGGTGTTTTGTTCCCGAAAAGTTTTTGACGCGCAAGAATTCCAGGTTGTGAGTTTGCAGTGACAATGTGGGGGGGGCGCTTTTGGTTCGGGCCCCGTTGAGGCTAAGCTCTGGCCGAACTGCCTTTCGGCCTTCGATCCGCCACTGGCTGTGCGGGAGGCGAGGTTGACCCATCTGCACAAGGGACGCTTAGGCTTTCCTCAGGCCATAATTTCAACAAAAGCCATTCAGGCAGAAAATCGCCCAAACTGCTTATTGCTCATTAGTGAAATCTTTTGAAAAGACAATCAAAGTAGATGAAAGCGAGTGCTTAAAGCAGCTGATTTTTTTGCAGCCCACAAGCTATTCAGGCTGATGTTCAGGATCAGGCAGTGCTTGAGGAATTAAACAAAATGAAAATTTAGCGCTGCCATTGATGGTGAGGCCGATGCTGCTCCTCCCCTGCCTCGCCTTGGTTGCCTTGGCCGTGTGGGCCACCGTGGGAGCCTTAGCAATTGGACGGCTCGGTTTTCCATGTTGCTATTGATATTTCATGTCGGTTCCATAGGATGTGCTGAATGTTGGAAGCTGAGCTGAGAAGCTGAAATGGTAGAATGGATGATGATGGATGATGGGTGAGAATGGGTTATGGGTGATGTGTCGGTTAATGATGTAATCAGGTACCGTATTAGGAATGATGTTCATGTTGATGATGAAGATGATGATGAAGATGATGATGAAGATGATGATGAAGATGATGGTGATGATCATGGTGATGATCATGGTGATGATCATGGTGATGATGGTGATGATGATTGATGATTGATGATTGATGATTGATGATTGATGATTGATGATGATGATGATGATGATGCTGGTGATGATGATGATGATGATGCTGATGATGATGATGGTGATGATGATGATGATGATGTTACATGGTGATATCAGGTGGGATCAGAGTCATGGAGCGTGCGAGTGGGTGTGAAAAGTCTACAAGCTCTCAGCGTTATATGAACGGGGTATAGTTTGCGTAGTTTCGAGATGTTTTCATGGGAATTTATGTGTTAGACCTGTTGACGAACCAGATTTTGAACTTGTTGGAGTCACGCGCGTGCAAACTGGTGTGGCATTTGATCAGGCATCCTCGTGGCTTGCAATGGAATGCAAGAGATTTATGTACAAACACCTATTTTTGAGCTGACGCTCATCGTCGCTCCGCCGGACTACTCGGCCCTCCATTTCATCGCAGTGTGGGCTTGAAAGCTATTGAATGAGGACTTGCTGCAGAAATATATTCCTTAGGTTTTTTGGAACATATTTGTTGGAAATAGACAATTTTTTTTGGGAGCAAGTGAGTTCCCGAAAGCGGGTCTTTCCTAAAGAACGGCTGCCAATTTCAATTTGTTACTTCGTGTAAAGGCGCCTCTGTACAGAGACTTCTCTGTGTAAAAGCTTTTGTGTGTAAAAAATTCTCTCAGTAAAGACTTCTTTGTGTAAAAGTTTCCTTCTGTGTGTGGAAGCTGCTCTGTGTGAAAGCGCGTTTGTGTAAAGATTTCTCTGTGTGTAAACGCTTTTGTGTGTAAAAGCTCCTCTGTGTAAAGGTTTCTCTGTGTAAAAGCTTCTGTGTGCAAACGCGTCTGTGTGTAAAAAAACACTCTGTGTAAAGACTTCTTCGTGTAAAAACTTCTGTGCGTAAAAACTCCGAGACGTTTGTGTGCAAAAACTCCTTAGAGTAAAGACTTCTCTGTGTAAAACCTTCTGTATGTAAAAAGTTCCTTTGTGTAAAGACTTCTCTGCGTAAAGCCTCTGTGTGTGTAAACGCTTGTGTGCGTCTCCCTCCAGCTTTCTTTCGGGTCACGTTGTGTTCCAGTTTCAATCTGCAATGTTGTTTCTTGTGGAAGAATGCCAAGAACATGTGAGAGCATCGCGCGTTTAAACGTTAAACATAAACAGCGCACAAAGTGCTGTAATTTACAGCATTTTGCGCTGTCAGATGGCAAGAACCCGCGTAAATACCACAGTTTTAGTCCTCGAAAGTGGCTAAAACACTGTTATTTACAGGGTTTCGTTCAGGTCACGATCTTCGATTTTTTGAAAAACGATGAAAAACGCGTAAATACTAGTGTTTTTTGCGTTCATCGAGACAAAAAAATCGGTTCAAACAGTGTAAAAAATGATGTAATTTACAGTGGTTTGGCGCCGTCACCGACAAAAAACTGCGTAAATACCAGCGTTTCGGCGTCCAAAAGTGGCCAGAACACCGCTATTTGCAGTGTTTCGTGCCTTCCACGTTTTCTTGAAATTGCAAAAACACTGTAAATACCAGCATTTTTTGCGATCAACCCGCCAAAAATGCTGTAATTTACAGTGTTTTTTTGCTTTGCTTTCAAAAACAATTATATTTGCAGTGTTTTGTGCATCTCGGGTCCAAAAAGTATTGGTATTTACAGCATTTTCTGGGTTTTTGCATGGCTCCCGCCAACGACGTTGTTTCACGGGGGCGATTGCTTTCAGCTTGTTGCAATCTGAGTTTGATATGGTTGAGACTTTCCTCAGTTCCCAATTGTGTAGGCCTGCCTTCGAGCCGGAAAGACACTGGACGCTCTTCACCTCTAGTGCATCCCGTTTAGCTAGTGCTGCGCGAACCATCCTAGCCCCGGAATGCCGAGAGGAAAAATATTTTTATTTTCCAGAATATATGCGATAATCCTTCCCATATTTTTCAGAGGGGTTGAAACCACCAACCAGAACATTATGTGACAACATAGACCCATGACAAGAGTTGCTATCCACTTGGTAGACTCTACAGCACCTTTAGCAGTACCATTCATGTGTTTACGTGTACTGTAATGATGCAGATGGAATCACGCATTCCTTTATCCAAATCTCTGGTGATTTTCATGTTGGGAATGCTCCGTAAATTTACACTCTATCTGATACTGTATGACGGACAATGACAACTTGTCGATATTCACCATGGACTGTCCCAGAATCCCAGATAAAAAAACTGAACACCGACCAGAATGGAGTGAAATTTCACTTGCTTCAGGGGAGAGTCATTGGTCACCTTGGTCACCTTGGTCACCTTGTTTCGTCTCAGACGTGTATTGGCTCAACTCGTGACTCGCCCACGGCCCCCTGGCCGTTCTTGTCTCATTTGCCACAATGACCGCTGGGGAGCTCAGAGTTGGGTGACTAACTTATCAGTGGTGGCACCATGGGAATGGGACCAACTATGGCAAATTATTATCAGTTCATCTTGCAGTACATGTTTCTTGTAAGATTGAAACTCGCCAATTTTTTTTTAATTTCGGGGAATTTGAGCCCCCAGCTGTTCCAATTTCCAGCTGCAATTGGAGTTCACAAAAAGGCAAAGCAGAGGTTAACCATGCGCATTTTATACATATATACAGGATATGGATGTACATGGTATACACAAGAATATGTCACACACTGGACTGGAGATTAATCCTAACTAGATCAATGGAATCAACTAGATAATTGGTTGGTGGTTTGGACCATTTTTTATTTTTCCATACTATATGGGAACAATAATCCCAACTGACTTTCATATTTTTCAGAGGGGTAGGTATACCACCGACCAGATAACTTTTTGAAGGGTTTCTAAATGTTTCCAAGATTAGTGAAGAACAAGTTTCTTGGAGGGGTACTGTAATGCATCACCGCCAAGCGATGAGAAAAAAACCTTCGCCTCCAGACTCCCTCCCGCAGCCCTCCCGACCGTCAATCCAAAGACATATCCAAATATGTTGTTACCCCCAAACAGAGTAGAAACGTATATATATATAATATACATACATACATATATATATATCCTACAAAGATCATCACTAGAACTAACTATATTTATCATGAATCATTATGATATATATATATATATATGTATATGTATATATATATATTATTATGATATATATATATTATTATGATATATATATAATTATGATATATATATATTATTATGATATATATATATATATTATTATGATATATATATTATTATGATATATATATATATTATTATGATATATATATATATGTATATGTATATATATATATTATTATGATATATATATATATATTATTATGATTATATATATATATATGTATATACATATTATGATATATATATATATATGTACATATTATATGTATCATTTTAGGCGCAAAACAACCATGTTTTTCTATCAACAAACTATGGCTCCGTTCCGAAATCCATAGACTTCCAGGTGATCAGCGCTTCATCATTGCTGAACTTCGTCATGGCCAGCTTCACCCAACCACTGCGCATCACCCGACGAGGTCAGCATCGAGTCGAAAACGTTGGGACTTCGGAGAGTTCGGATAGTTTTTTTGTTGATTATTGTTGTTTTTTTTGGAAATATCGGAGGATTTGTTGTTGATGTTTGTGTTTTTTTGTTTCTAAAATGGATCTTTGGTTCGGTGGTTCGTTGGACCTTATCTTATATGTTTTTTGGTTGGTTTTCTAGCGCCAAGAGTTGGGTTTTCATCATGTTTTAGCAAGAACAAGTGAGCAATGGCTGCTAAACCCTCGTTGGTTGATGACTAGTTCGGGGATTATACCCCCAAAAAATTGGGATTATAATATTCCAAGAACGGGGAATCCCGTTCTGAACCAGGATTAAATGGAATGAGGGCTTTTGAACACTGCTCAAGTGGGACTTAAACCTCAAAGAATTTGTTTTAACTGTTTGCCATAGAGAATCCCAATGCATATGTCACTCTGGAGTCATACCTGGAGGATCATACCGCGGTCCTCGTAACTGGTGAACGTAACCATGGCTATAACCCACTTATGAGGCTTGCTAACCAGGGCTACTAACTACTAGGTGGGATGATTCTCAAAGTCCGACTGGAATTCATGACAATAGGAATTGCTAAGACTGGGGCGCTGGGGCTGGCAGATGTTCTGTTACACCAAAGATCCAATCCAAACGTTAGCAACTGGGTAATCATCACTGTGAAATTACTGCAACAACTTGGTGAACGAAACAGTTAAAATAATATAAAAAATAAAGAAAACAAGGTTAATATATTTTTTTATATTGTGTCAGTGATGCATGTGTGCTTGTAAGTCGGACATGTGTAGGGACATATTTCTCCACCTTTCCCATGATGGTTGGTTAGACCATGTTAAACCCCTTTGACAGTAAAGTTATATTTATAAATCCCAGTATCGCTCTTCATCAACTTATATTCATCCATGATATCCCTGAAAAATCCCATGATAGTTGGTTAAACCGCATGAAATCCTTAAATTCTTTCCATGTTTTCCCATTGTTAAGATATAGTTAGCCTATAATTTCCTATAAATCACCTATAATTTCCTATAAATCCCCTATAAGTCACCTATAAATCACCCACTTAAAACCTTCAGAAAACAGAGTTCCCGCCGAGACCGACACCGGCGACGAGACGAGCGGCGGGTGCGGCGAGCTTAAGAAGTCAGAAGAATTCCGAAAGGCCAAGCGGCCTGGCCGAGTTTCTGAGAGTTTCTGGGGCCAGTGCTTTCTGTCTTTTAGTAATGTATAGTAGCTATTTCATGGTATAATTAATATACATATAACTAATTCTATGAGAAAAAATAGTTATATTCACTAGTATTGGTGTATTAATATAGTCATAATTATATATATATATATATTTAGTTATATATATAGTAGTACTTACTTAGTGAATATAATGAGATACGTCTTATTCGGGTGACATAAACGGGTGAGTTTTGCTATGGATTCTATGGGGTGATAGCGTTCAGTTGGGGTTCACATAACTCCAATGTCACTATGGTTTTTGTTGGTGATATATGGGTATGGGTCAATACCTATAGATACATTTTTAGTGGGATGAACATCCATTTACCAGCTATTTTGGGGTTCACTAGGTACCAGGGTTTTGACCCATCCCCATATCTACAAAAAACCTGGGATTATAAACCAACAAACATCACTTGCGGGGGACCACTAACTGTAGGGAGTAACAAAAAAACTTGGCTGATTGGGGAATCCGGGGTTACTATGACCCAATGTTGGGGCAAAATAAACAACTACTATGATTTTTGTCAGGTTTTGGGGTCATTTTGAATGGCTCAACTGGACACATTTCAGGGGACACTGCGCGGAGATACCACTTGAGATGGTTTGGCACACGTTGGTACAAGGTGGTGCCCCCGCAAGTTATGTTTGTTGGTTGATAATCCCATTAACTGTAGATATATATATATATCACCAACAAAAACCTGTAGATATATCACCTATATATAAACCATAGTGACATTGGAGTTATGTTCACCAACTGAACGCTATCGAACGGGGGCACCACCTTGTACAACATGGTACAACTACCTGAAGAAGGGATCAGTAGGTGTCTACGTCTCCAATTGATGCGGAGCTCCCAGGAGACCCCCGGACGGAAGTAGGTTTGCGACAATCGGGAAGTGGGAGGAAAAAATAGGGAAGATACCATACAACATGACGCCCCCAAGTTAGAAGTTGGTATATATATATTATATATATAAATCCACTATAACTATAAGGTACGATAGTTTGATTCTCCATAAGCTCAACCATGGTCCCCGTTGGTTTGTCCAACTGTGCGTAAAAACTTGTCGAGCTCGAGCTATCACCGGGGCCATCCTGGGCCTCATCGAAGGACCATACGAAAAGCCAAGGGTTAGATGATCCGATATGATCCGATATGATCCCTTGGACAGACAGCTTCACTTATGAAGAATGATTGGACTTGGACGATGTTGGACGATGATGTTCAGCTCAAAAGAATCCAAGTTCTTTGTCCATTTCTTGTCGCAAAATCTGGCCAGCGAATCATGCTGCGAATCTGTCAGCACGTAACGAGGTTGACTGGTGGAGATTTGAGCATGGGAATTTCAGGAGTGCTAATTTACTATATTAGAAATCCCCCCAAAAAAGGGAGTTAGTATAATCTTACTGAAAGATATATCTTTCAAGAGTGGCAAATTCAACCATTTACCATCCATTTACCATCCATTTACCATCTATTTACCATCCATTTACCTAGTCTTTGTCTTGGGAGATCTTGAGATCATTGGATCGTTGGATCAGCGCAGGTAGCATGAAGGGACAGGCCGCGGACCGGACTCCGGGGATGGGAACGTACGTGAAAACCAGTGAACAGTGAACACCTAATAAATATATATAGTATATATATATATGTGATAATAATAAATGTATAGTTTATAATAGCAATATAAATATATAATATATATTATATATACATATATATATGATTAATCAATTAATTAATTAGTTAATTAATTACTATGTTTTTGAAGATCTGAAAAAAACTACGTGTTCTCTTTTTCAAGTGTTTTTCGCAGATTATTTTTACGAGCTTTTGACTTCTGAGAAGGGATATGTCATGAGATAGAACTGGGGTTCCCATACGTTTCCATGATGGGAGTTTGACCAACCGACCAACCATGATGGGTAGATAACTGGATGTACCCTCTGGGAAACATACAAAAAAGATTTGATCAATCACCTAATGCTATTTTCATGGGTAAATCCACTATTTCGACTGGGCCATTTTCAATAGCTTTTTGTTTGTTTGCCAGGCCGGGTATCTCGTGGGACTCGTGTTGGCCTCGTGTTTTTCGGGAAGTCAACCAAAAAAGATTCACGGGAAGTTTTTTGTACTGTACCATGGGAGCAGTTCTCTACTTGGGGCTTAACCAACCCCATAAATGGATGGGCAATCTGAAAAACATACCAGCTTTCTCTCTTGTGAACTTCTCTGTCATCCGGTTGCATGGGTACTTCAGTACCATTGGTGTCAATAAATGTCGTTACTACACCAGGTAGGTCATGATAAATGATACCAGTATACTAGCAATATGATCGTGACACTCCCATTTAAACAATGACAATCCCTAATCCCAGTGTCAGTGTTATGATTTTTAAATAAAGTGCTAATCCCAGTGGATTATCCCAGTGTTATCCTAATATTGCCAATGATAATCCCAGTGGATTTTTAAATTGCCAATGTATTTGTTTATCCCAGTGCTGGCTATCCCACGCAGTACGTTTATTGCTCGTTTGCTTCGCATCATTTTTGTTCATGTTCCCAGCGATTTCGGTCAGTGTTTTCTCCAGAGAGGTGTTCTGACATATGGAAATACCCGGCCTGGTAAACTTAAACCCTGGGGTTTAATGGGGTTTAATGGGGTTTAATGGGGTTTAATGGGATGTAGTGAAATTTAGTGATATACCCTCTGGTAAACTTTCACAGTTTGCGAACTGGAAAATCACCATTTTTATTGGGTAAATGGGTAGTCATCAACTATTTCGACTGGGCCATTTTCAATAGCTTTTTGTATGTTTACCATTTACCATGTATATTATTTACCATTTACAGAATTGTTTACACATTTGCCATATTTATTATTTGCACATTTACCATGTATATTATTTACCACCTATTTTAGTGTAGACATATTTACCATCCGGTTATTTAACATAGCTAACTAGAAAATCACCATGCTATTAAGAACGGTAAACCCAGGTAAACCATCTATTTCTATGGGCCATCTATACCATGGCAAACTGTTAGTCATAACCAGAGGGTAAATCCCATGAAATATCCCGTATAAATCCCCATAAATCACCATTTATAGTGGTTAAATCACCATAAATCACCATTAATCATGGATTAATCACCATTAAATCACCATTTTCCTATGGTTTTCCTATGGTTTTCCTATAGTTTTATGGTGATCCCTATAATGGGATCTATGAAAAGACAAAGCACGGTGCGTTTTCCCGGTGCCGGCTATGCCGGCATCGCCAACTCGAGACGGTGAGAATTTGGTAAGTTAGCCACTTGTAGTTATCCGTAACAGCTATATATATATATAGCAGTTATATGTAATATGATAAGAATATATATATATATATATAATATACTATATATATGATAATATATATATATGTACATATCACTTATCACTGTTGAGGGCCATTGGTTACTGCTGGCCTGCCCCTGACCCCCAAAAAATCCCCAAACGCCCGCTACCCTTTGTTTTGTTGATCGCAGCTTCGACGGCGATATCTTCGTCAGCTGGGGTCCCGAGGGATTGGCGGAGACTGGTTTAATGTGGTTTTATAATCTTAACTGGTTTATAATATATGGTTAATGATTGTTAATGATGCTTAATGATGTTTAATGATGGTTAATGATGCTATATCATAGGGATGTCACCAATAATATATCTGGTTGGTGGTGACTGGAACATGACTGGACTATGACTTTCCCATCATATTGGGAATGGAATAATCATCCCAACTGACGAAGTCATATTTTTCAGAGGGGTAGGTATACCACCAACCAGACATGTTTTATAATTGTTCATAATGTTTATTTTATGTTTTATATAATTGTTGTTTGGTTGCTTTTTATGTTTTATATGAGGGTTTGCCTAAAATGGGGGTACCCCAATAGCTGGATGGTTTATTTCATGGAAAATCCTCTATCGATGATTTGGAGTACCCCGATTTTAGCAAACCTCCATATGCTTAAAGCGTCAAACCCTATGAAAAACCCTACTGTAGGATATCAACATAACATACGGTTTTACATGGTTTTATATGGTTTAATAGGCTTAGTGATGGGGTAATTTTGGGATGACTAATGGGATATTCATGGATATACTCTTTGGTGTCATCAAACGCGGCAACTGAAAATCCTTTTCTTATTCCAACAGCTGAGGAAGAATACCCTCTGGTAATTTAACATAGCTATTGAAAATGGCCATTTATAGTTGATTAAAAATTGTGATTTTCCATAGTTATGTTAGCTTACCAGAGGGTAGTTCGTAAAACAACGATCTCCATTAGATTGTTGTATTACAGTCCCAAGATTGGTTCGTTGCCTCCACTTCTATCCATTTTGACCTTGGAATAACACAACACCAAGTCTTGCAGCCATGATGAATAAAATAAGTGCATAACTTTCCATACTTGCCAACAAAGTTTGGCGATCATTTGGCGTCAAAACTTCGGGTCCAGGAAACCGGAGATGCTCAATTTTTAGGAGTTAAACATAGTTAAACCATCCAATCTTAGAGTATAGTATCTAATTTTGACACATATCCATGGCTGTAGCTTACAACTTCCAGAACGGTTCGGTACAGCCATATTTTTCCCAGTAATTCGTTCGGTTCACACAGCTTTCACTCGCCCAAAGGTTGGCGACTCTGCTTCAAAGGCGGGAGTCCTGTTTGAAATTCTCCGGCTCCATCACTCCCAGGAAAACGTGTGATGAAATCACCCCTTAAAACCAGCATGGTTTACAATGGTTTTCTGGGGGGAGTAGGACGGAATCCGCAAACAGTGGGGATTGAATAGCAAGAAACAACGAGCCAGGATGGACATGTAACCTCACCCAGTGAGGGATATTGATAGATGGAAATTCAAGATGCAACCAACAAAAGTATGGGGTTCTATGAA